ACAAGTACGTGAGATACTTTAAGGGGATGTTACTTGTAAGTGAGAGACATTAAGGAGGGTGTTAACAGTAAGTCAAAGACTTTAAAGGAATGTCACCAGTTAGTGAGAAACTTTAAGGCGAAAGTTACCAGTAAGTGAGAGACTTTAAGGGAATGTTACCAGTAAGTCAAAGACTTTAAGAGGATGTTACCAGTAAGTGAGAGACTTTAAGGGAATGTTACCAGTAAGTGAGAGATTTTAAGGAGGATGTTACCAGTAAGTGAGTGACTTAAAGGGGATGTTACCAGTAAGTGAGTGACTTTAAGGGGATGTTACCAGTAAGTGAGAGACTTTAAGGAGGATGTTACCAGTAAGTGAGAGACTTTAAGCGGATGTTACCAGTAAATGAGAGACTTTAAGAGGATGTTACCATTAAGTGAGAGACTTTAAGAGGATGTTACCAGTAAGTGAGAGACTTTAAGGATGATGTTACCAGTAAGTGAGAGACTTTAAGAAGAATGGTACCAGTTAGTGAGAGACTTAAAGAGGATGTAACCAGTAAGTGAGAGATTAAAAAGTGATGTTACCAGTAAGTGAGTGACTTTAAGAGGATGTTACTAGTTAGTGAGAGACTTTAAGGATGATGTTACCAGTAAGTGAGAGACTTTGAGGAGGATGTTACCAGTAAGTGAGAGACTTTAAGGGGATGTTACCAGTAAATGAGAGACTTTAAGAGGATGTTACCATTAAGTGAGAGACTTTAAGAGGATGTTACCAGTAAGTGAAATACTTTAAGGGAATGTTACCAGTAAGTGAGAGACTTTAAGGAGGATGTTAGCAGTAAGTGAGTGACTTTAAGGGGATGTTACCAGTAAGTGAGAGATTTAAAGGGGATGTAACCAGTTAGTGAGAGACTTTAAGGACGATGTTACCAGTAAGTGAGAGACTTTAAGGGAATATCGCCAGTTAGTGAGAAACTTTAACAAGGATGTTATCAGTTAGTGAGAGACTTTATAGTCATGTAACCAGTTAGTGAGAGACTTAAAAGGGAAGTTACCTGTAAGTAAGAGACTCTATAGGGATTTTACTAGTTAGTGAGAGAATTTAAGGAGGATGTTACCAATAAGTGAGAGATTTTAAGGGAATGTTACCAGTTAGTGATAAACTTTAAGATGGATGTTACCAGTTAATGAAAAAGTTTAAGAAGGATTTTAATAAGTGAGAGATTTTAAGGGGATGTTACCAGTTAGTGAGATACTTTAAGGGGACGTTACCAGTAAGTGAGAGATTTAAAGGGGATGTTATCAGTTAGTGAGAGACTTTATAGTGATGTAACAAGTTAGTGAGAGACTTAAAAGGGAAGTTACCAATAAGTGCGAGACTCTATCGGGATTTTATTAGTTAGTGAGAGAATTTAAGGAGGATGTTACCAATAAGTGAGAGACTTTAAAGGGTTGCTACCAGTTAGTGAGAAACTTTAAGAAGGATGTTACCAGTTAATGAGAAAGTTTTAGAAGGATTTTAATTAGTGAGAGATTTTAAGGGGATGTTACCAGTTAGTGAAAGACTTTAAGGAGGATGTTACAAGTACGTGAGATACTTTAAGGGGATGCTACTTGTAAGTGAGCGACATTAAGGATGGTGTTACCAGTAAGTAAAAGACTTTAAAGGAATGTCACCAGTTAGTGAGAAACTTTAAGGCGAAAGTTACCAGTAAGTGAGAGAGTTTAAGGGGATTTTACCAGTAAGTGAGGGATTAAAGGGGATGTTACCCGTTAGTGAGAGACTTTAGGGACGATGTTACCAGTAAGTGAGAGACTTTAAGGCAAAAGTTACCAGTAAGTAAGAGATTTCAAGGGAATATCGCCAGTTAGTGAGAAACTTTAACAAGGATGTTATCGGTTAGTGAGAGACTTTATAGTGATGTAACCAGTTAGTGAGAGACTTAAAAGGGAAGTTACCAATAAGTGAGAGACTCTATAGGGATTTTACTAGTTAGTGAGAGAATTTAAGGAGGATGTTACCAATGAGTGAGAGACTTTAAGGGGATGTTACCAGTTAGTGATAAACTTTAAGAAGGATGTTACCAGTTAATGAGAAAGTTTAAGAAGGATTTTAATAAGTGAGAGATTTTAAGGGGATGTTACCAGTTAGTGAAAGACTTTAAGGAGGATGTTCCAGTAAGTGAAAGACTTTAAGGGGATGTCACAAATAAGTGAGAGACTTTAAGGAGGATGTTACCAGTTAGTGAGAGACTTTAAGGGGATGTTACCAGTAAGTGACAGACTTTAAGGGGATGTTACCAGTAAGTGACAGACTTTAAGGGGATGTTACCAATAAGTGAGAGACTTAAAGGGGATGTTACCAGTAAGTGACAGACTTGAAGGGGATGTTACCAATAAGTGAGAGACTTAAAGGGGATGTTACCAGTAAGTGACAGACTTTAAGGGGATGTTACCAGTTAGTGATTAACTTTAAGAAGGATGTTACCAGTTAATGAAAAAAGTTTAAGAAGGATTTTAGTAAGTGAGAGATTTTAAGGGGATGTTACCAGTTAGTGAAAGACTTTAAGGAGGATGTTACCAGTTAGTGAGATACTTTAAGGGGATGTTACCAGTAAGTGACAGACTTTAATGGGATGTTACCAATAAGTGACAGACTTAAAGGGGATGTTACCAGTAAGTGACAGACTTTAAGGGGATGTTACCAATAAGTGAGAGACTTTAAGGGGATGTTACCAGTTATTGTGAAACTTTAAGAAGGATGTTACCAGTTAATGAAAAAAGTTTAAGAAGGATTTTAGTAAGTGAGAGATTTTAAGGGGATGGTACCAGTTAGTGAAAGACTTTAAGGAGGATGTTACCAGTTGGTGAGATACTTTAAGGGGATGTTACCAGTAAGTGACAGACTTTAAGGGGATGTTACCAATAAGTGAGAGACTTTAAGGGGATGTTACCAGTTAGTGAGAGTCTTTAAGGGGATGTTATCAGTTAGTGAGAGACTTTATAGTGATGTAACAAGTTAGTGAGACTTAAAAGGGAAGTTACCAATAAGTAAGAGACTCTATAGGGATTTTATTAGTTAGTGAGAGAATTTAAGAAGGATGTTACCAATGAGTGAGAGACTTTAAGGGGATGTTACCAGTTATTGTGAAACTTTAAGAAGGATGTTACCAGTTAATGAGAAAGTTTTAGAAGGATTTTAATTATTGACAGATTTTAAGGGGATGTTACCAGTTAGTGAAAGACTTTAAGGAGGATGTTACAAGTACGTGAGATACTTTAAGGGGATGTTACTTGTAAGTGAGAGACATTAAGGAGGGTGTTAACAGTAAGTCAAAGACTTTAAAGGAATGTCACCAGTTAGTGAGAAACTTTAAGGCGAAAGTTACCAGTAAGTGAGAGACTTTAAGGACAATGTAACCAGTAAGTGAGAGTTTAAGGTGATGTTATCAGTTAGTGAGAGACTTTAGGGACAATGTAACCAGTAAGTGAGAGACTTAAAGGCAAAAGTTACCAGTAAGTGAGAGACTTTAAGGCAAAAGTTAACAGTAAGTAAGAGATTTTAAGGGAATATCGCCAGTAAGTGAGAAACTTTAACAAGGATGTTATCGGTTAGTGAGAGACTTTATAGTGATGTAACCAGTTAGTGAGAGACTTAAAAGGAAAGTTACCAATAAGTGAGAGACTCTATAGGGATTTTACTAGTTAGTGAGAGAATGTAAGGAGGATGTTACCAGTTAGTGAAAGACTTTAAGGAGGATGTTACCAGTAAGTGACAGTCTTTAAGGGTATGTTACCAGTTAGTGAAAGACTTTAAGGGGATGTAACAAATAAGAGAGAGACTTTAAGGATGATGTTACCAGGTAGTGAGAGACTTTAAGGATGATGTTCCCAGTTAGTGAGAGACTTGATAGTGATGTACCAAGTTAGTGAGAGACTTAAAAGGGAAGTTACCAATAAGTAAGAGACTCTATAGGGATTTTATTAGTTAGTGGGATGTTACCAATAAGTCAGAGACTTAAAGGGGATGTTACCAGAAAGGCTCCAGAGACAGCTCCAGGCTCGCTCCATGGCATCATCACAGGATGAGTTTGTCAACTTGGGACGAATCAGAGACAACAGGTACTGTCAACCATAGTTATAGGTGACTCGAAGTGACAATAGGTACTGTCAAACATAGTTATAAGTAGTGATAAACTTTAAGAAGGATGTTACCAGCTAATGAAAAAGTTTAAGAAGGATTTTAAAAAGTGAGAGATTTTAAGTGGATGTTACCAGTTAGTGAGAGTCTTTAAGGGGATGTTATCAGTTAGTGAGAGACTTAAAAGGAAAGTTACCAATAAGTGAGAGATTTTAATGGGATGTTACCAGTTAGTGAAAGACTTTAAGGGGATGTAACAAATAAGAGAGAGACTTTAAGGATGATGTTCCCAGTTAGTGAGAGACTTGATAGTGATGTACCAAGTTAGTGAGAGACTTAAAAGGGAAGTTACCAATAAGTAAGAGACTCTATAGGGATTTTATTAGTTAGTGAGAGAATTTAAGGAGGATGTTACCAGTAAGTGACAGACTTTAAGGGAATGTTACCAATAAGTGAGAGACTTTAAGGGAATGTTACCAGTTAGTGAGAGTCTTTAAGGGAATGTTACCAGTAAGTCAAAGACTTTAAGAGGATGTTACCAGTAAGTGACAGACTTTAAGGGAATGTTACCAATAAGTGAGAGACTTTAAGGACAATGTAACCAGTAAGTGAGAGACTTAAAGGCAAAAGTTACCAGTAAGTGAGAGATTTAAAGGGGATGTTATCAGTTGGTGAGAGACTTTATAGTGATGTAACCAGTTAGTGAGAGACTTTAGGGACAATGTAACCAGTAAGTGAGAGTTTAAGGTGATGTTATCAGTTAGTGAGAGACTTAAAAGGAAAGTTACCAATGATGTTACCAGTTAATGAAAAAAGTTTAAGAAGGATTTTAGTAAGTGAGAGATTTTAATGGGATGTTACCAGTTAGTGATAGACTTTAAGGAGGATGTTACCAATGAGTGAGAGACTTAAAGGGGATGTTACCAGTAAGGCTCCAGAGACAGCTCCAGGCTCGCTCCATGGCATCATCACAGGATGAGTTTGTCAACTTGTGACGAATCAGAGACAACAGGTACTGTCAAACATAGTTACAGGTGTATCTTAGTGACAACAGGTACTGTCAAACATAGTTATTGGTGTATCTTAGTGACAACAGGTACTGTCAAACATAGTTATAGGTGAATCGAAGTGACAATAGGTACTGTCAAACATAGTTATTGGTGTATCTTAGTGACAACAGGTACTGTCAAACATAGTTATAGGTGTATCTTAGTGACAACAGGTACTGTCAAACATAGTTATAGGTGTATATTATATATATATAATTAGTGACACCAGGTTCTGTCCAACATAGTTATTGGTGTATCTTAGTGACACCAGGTTCTGTCAAACATAGTTATAGGTGTATCTTAGTGATACCAGGTACTGTCAAACATAGTTATAGGTGTATCTTAGTGACAACAGGTACTGTCAAATATAGTTATAGGTGTATCATAGTGACAACAGGTACTGTCAAACATAGTTATAGGTGTATCTTATGATACCATATACTGTCAAACACAGTAGGTTATATAATTACCGTCAATGTGTCGGTTTCCTTGCCGATTGTTGATTTTTCTGGTCTGTCGGTTCGACATGTCTCGTGTAATAGTTTCAGGGCATACATTTCAAAGAAGTCGCCATGGTAGGAATTTAGGACTCGAAGTAGGCTGTTTACATATCTTTTGAACAAATGACAATAAATCTGAAATGACAGTAAAAGACATCATTATCACTTCAAATGGAGCCAAATGTTGCCTGCAATCCACTGCTGTACAAACTAAGGACAAGGGACGTAACTCTGTGTGTCCAACTAGGCAAGTAACTCAATGTCATTATGTCCATCTCATGAGGAACGCCACCTACTCAAGTCCAGGACAGAGCGAGTAGGTAATTCTGGACAAATTGATGATCAGTGAACAAAGGGTCGTAACGACACTGGTTAAACTAGTGGATTGAATACTTATTCCATAGACCCCACTGGTTAAACTAGCATATTGAACACAAAACCATAGACCCCATTGGTTAAACTAGCGGATTGAGCACAAAACCATAGACCCCACTGGTTACACTAGTAGATTAAATACAAAGCCAAAGACCCCACTGGTTACACCAGTGGATTGAATACAATGCCATAGACCCCACTGGTTACACTAGTGGATTGAATACAATGTCATAGACTCTACTAAATAGGTGACCCAAGAGTGGTGAAATACATCTGTACTAAAAAAGATTTACCAAGGGAGAAATGGGTGACCCTAGAGTGGTGAAATAGACATCTGTACTAAAAACAAGAGGCCCATGGGCCTAAACGGTCACCTGAGTCTACAGTATTTATTTTTGTTGTTGAAATATGTACCAATTTGAGTAAAAAATAGTATAATGTTAACTTAACTTTGTCAGGACCATGAGCTGATCATTCCTAGACCAATTTTAAGTGAGATCGGCCTATTAGAACTTAGTAGCAAAATAGCGGCCATGGCAGCCAAATTGTATTTCTGATTGACCCGAAAAATAACAACACTTTGTCAGGACCATGATTCGATCATTCCTACAAAGTTTCAGTTCAATCGGCCAAGTAGATCTTTACTTTAAGTTTGAAATAGTTT